AGCAAGATTATATCACCTCTCACAATGGCATCTTTAAGCCCATTCCCTCAACTACACTTTGACAAGTGCAAATTTACGGGCACTCTAGTGTCCAATCATCTTTTACCTTCGAGTCACGAACGACAAAACTCGCCAATCTAACTCTTCAGGTTCAAGAAGATTGAACAGGGGCAGCTGTTGTACCCCAAAATTTTCCCTCTCATTTTTCAAGATTTTCCTCACAAGATTTCTTGGACTCGAGACAAGATTACGGTTTGGTCAGCTCAAGACATCACCTTGCACTAATAACCTGGAATTAGGGTTTGAGTTTGCACAAGGATTTTTGGACCATAAATGCTTCATGTGACTTTCATACACCATCTTGAACCCCTAATATTGCTCATGTTAAGTTTTAAGCCTTGAATCAAATTTTTGCTCAGTCAATTGGACAGTTGACCTAAAAATCAATTGTATTGGGGAAAAAGTCAACCATGGCAAATTTACAATCAAACTTCATAATTTTTGATCCACAACAACATTTTAGACTCATATGTACCATTTGATCAAGTTTGGATCACAACTCTTCAAGAAATTTGATCAGATCATCAAAAGGGCAAAATGGTCAAAATTAGGGTTTTGACTGAGAAGGGGCAATTTCTGATTTTTTTTTAACCTAGCCAATGACCAATTGGGTTCCAGCATGATTTCAAGGACTCAATGGCATCATCTTGACCTAATTACTTGGTTCAAAAGACCTCAAGTTCATAGGATGGACAGATGAATTTTGCAGTCAACTGATCAAAAGTCAACTATACACTGAAAAGTCAAACTTTGACTTTTTGGTCAAAATCAAGTGCCAAGGGTCATAATTCATCAAGATACGTCAAAACATGAAACTTTTTCACCAAGAAAACCAATTTTGAAAATTAGGGTTTTGAATTTGAAAATTTTTATAACTTAGAATTTTTCTAAGTATGGAAATTTTCTTATTTTTTCCCAACTTTTCACCACTTTTCCACCATGATGCACTTTTATTCAAAGAAAACTTCCAACATGAAAGTTGTAGTCCTCCATGAAATATACAACTTTTATTCACAAATTTTTCCCAAAATATGCTTGGATCTCAAGTTATGAATTTGTGAATAAGGGTCCATGAACTAAATGACTTAGTGAAAATTTGCCCTAATTTAGGCAGGTTTTTGACCCAACTTCATGGATATTTTTCACCTAGTTCCAAGAGGTATCTCAAAATTCATTTCAACTATGGATTGTAGAGCATGTTGCAAGATTTCTAAACTGTCCAAGAACTCTTTAAGATCATTTGTGGTTAGGGAGAATCGAAGAAGGGAAGTTGGCATTTTGTCACTTTTGATCAAGTCATTTTTACATGAGATCAAGTTGCAAATAAGATCCTAGCATGCTTGTACCTTGCATTAAAGGTCCTAAACCCATTCTACACTCCATAATTAAATTCTAACTCAATGGATAAAGGCTTTGTTTTCACTTTTGGAACATTGTACAAGAAATAAATCCATTAATGGCATAAAGGGCACATTGCCATTTTCATAAAGGAAAGCTTTTCCAACTTTATCAGCCTTGAGCCTTGGACTTGTTCCTTTGGTACAAACAATTTCCACAGGAATTAAGAAAAGCATACCAACTCTCATCAGCTCAAGAACTAGCCAGTACAAGCCTGTTGCACAAGTCACTTCAACTTTTCTTAAAATGCAAGAAAGTTGGCCAAAAGTTAAAAACCAGTACAAGCTGATAAAGGAAGGACTTGGTATCATTCTAGACATCTTGACAAACTTATCACAAGCCAAAACACGAAGGCTAAACATCTGAAACTCTCCAAAACTCCAAAACTTCATCTTTCTGCCAAAATTGCCAGCTTCTGCAAAATCCTTGCCAACTTCATTTTGGCTCGTGCGTTTTTCCTTTTAACCTTTGAAACACTTCATCAACATCATATCCAAGCTATCCAAGCCTTTGCATTGTTGTTGTAAGCTCTGTTTTAGCCATCACCATTTTCACTTTGGAAGGTTGCAGCTTGACTTCTACAAAGAGTTTCAGCCATCCACAAGGCAAGCTGAGCATTGGAATAGGTTGAAGGAACTTCAAGGAATCTTACACGATCCTCAGGCCTCACTCAAAGTCCCCATATTTCCATATCCAGATCTAGATGAAGGAGGTATTTTTCAAATCTTTATCTCTCTATTTAGGCATCCTCAAGCCACGATTTGTGAAGCAAAAATATAGCCCTTATCATGGTGAAGTTGTACATATGCATACTTTCCATTTATATTAACTGAGCTGAGAGAATTTGAAGTCTGAAAATGCTGAAAAAGTTAGGTCACGATTTAGGGCCATTAAAATTCTCTCTGATCTTTTAGAGTTAGGTCACATAATTTATATCATTAGAATCGTGAGATGAAATGCTACATTTTTTATGTTACAAGTTTTTGTTTTTGTGCAAGCGTTTGAGAGTTGCAGGTTGAACTGAGTACACGCGCGCAAGGTGGACGAAGGACAGGGACGATGGCTGGCTTGGGCCTTGGGCGCCTTTGGCCTTCTGTTTTTGTTTCTCACACCCGCTTACCACTATTTGCACCCCCTGACTTTGTTTGTTATATTTTTCATATTTTCTTTTCATTTTTATATTTTATCACTTTTGATTACTATACATTTTTATTTTATTATTTTACACATTAAAATATTTATTTTCATACATATTTTAATTTTTAATATTTGTACATAATATTATTTATTATTTTCTTACACAAAAAATGGACAAAATAATAAATATAGAACATATTTTTCTTTTAATCTAAAATTAGGGTTTCACCCTTTCAAAAATAATAATATTTTTTTATCTTATTTTTAGGGCTTAAATAAATCATTTTTTCTCATACAAAAAAACAAATACAAAACATTTTTTCCATAAATACATTGCATTGCATATTTAAATATTTGTATATTTATTTATTTCGCACAATATTCAATTGGGTTGTAATAGTATTTTAGGGTTTATTTTGTGCAATATCCCCATTCAAAAACTTGTATCCCCCCTCCCATAATAATTGTTGTAATAGTTTAGTTTACATTTACGCAATTTATCGCTTTATATATTTGTGTAGTAAAATTAGGGTTTTGCATGATAAGACCAAAAACAAACAAGTAGAAATGACCTAATCCAAGACAATCAAAATGCATGTAAAATGACACACATTACACACAAGCACCCTTAGGGTTTCACCCACTTGGTTGCCTAACAAAATGGCCATGGTATGCATGCAAAGTATCTTGGCAAAACAAAACAAAATAAGATCATAGTCCCTCGATGACGCTATCAAAAGGTTGCCTAACACAAAATGATCTTGGTCCCTCAAAATGCTAAAGATATTTGGCAACATTGCTATCATGGTCATACGATGACCCACACTCGTCCCGTTTAACATCCAAAGATAGGGTTGTTTACTAAATCAATGGTAAATCAACAATATCAAAGGAATAAAAATGCATAGGAAAGACATTTGAGTAGGTAGATAGCTTCTAAGTTACTTGCTCTCTTCAAACAATCCTTGTTATTTTTAAAAACAAACACACACACATTTTCAAAACATTTCCAAACAACTTTCAAAACATTGAAACATTTTTCAAAAGACAAACATCTTTGTATACATTCTTACAAACGAGAATCATTACAAAGATTGCCTAAACGAAAGGCCTCTTTTCAAAATACTTTCAAAACCACACCAAACGCAAAGCACCATTTCAAACAATTTCAAAAGCAAAGCAAGTGATCTAAGCAAGTAACTAAGATCCCATGGAAAACCATGGATGAAAAGGGTTCTAGCACCTTCCCTTTTCATAATCTACCCCCCGAACTCAAGAAAACATCTCAAAGGTCTTTCCTGTGCTTTTTTACCTTTCCTTTTGGATAAAATAAAAGTCGGTGGCGACTCTTGCTAAACCGCGACATTTGCGACAAAACGCAAAACCTCAAGTCAGTTCTCCCACCGTATCACATGTGCTTACCGATACTGGCTCTGCCCTCAATGTGTTACCAAAATCTAGTTTGATGAGGCTAACACTAGATGGTGTTGTGATAAGACCGGGTTCCACGATAGTTAAAGCTTTCGACAGTTCTCAAAGTATGGTATTCAGAGAAGTTGATCTTTCCGTCAAGATCAGCCCACACATGTTCTATATCACCTTTAAAGTCATGGATATAGAACCAACATATACATGTCTACTCGGACGACCTTAAATTCATGCAGCAGGAGCAGTCACTTCGACCTTACATAAAAAATTGAAGTTCTTTGTTGAGGGAAGATTGGTCATAATTGACGGAGAAGAGGACATCTTTATAAGTCACATTGAGTCCTACAGGTATATTAGTGCTGACGAAGATTGCATAGCCACACCATTTCCAGTCTTGGAGGTTGCTTCAATGGCGAACTTACCATCAAACCCTGTCGGCCAACTACGAATCAAAAATCGCACTTCAAATCAACAACTTCGAAAACCTCAAAGTCACAATCATTAGTTTCAGAAACTTTTATATGTTCCTCACGAAAATGTTCATCCATCAAGGTCACACCGTCTTGGCTCCTTCCTGAAGCAACTACACCGTTGTTGCTCAAACTCTCGGCATCATATTCTTCCATAACCCTGAAGATCTCTTCGAAGAACACCCCAAAGTTATCCTCCTTTGTATTTCAATAATCTCAACACAAAACATTGTCCATTCTCTTTCCTTTCGGAGACTCAAACGAAGTACATTAATCGTCGATGTAATTTTCGTCAAAGAATTTCCCAAAAAACTTCTTCTTAAAACGCTACCACCCAATTTTGATATCCTTTGTCCTCACCAAATTGGACCTGAGAGTGCAAGCCCTAGCTGGACTGGACTTCTGTTTGCTTACAATAAATTCCAAATCGATAATGAAGAACAAAGGATTATAAGGTGTGAGAAGTTTCTAGATGTGTTTGTGAGATAAGGTTGTAGAGTTGTGGAGATGAGTTGTGATGATCATGATCAGTATACAACAGAGTCGCAGTTTATAACACACACTGTTGGTAGGGTTTTAGATATGTTGATGTTGGAATATAGTCCTATAAATATGGAAGAGTATGAATCTTTGTTGAATTTGGTTGAGAATACTTGTCGGGATAGTTATGATCTTTATTATGGTTTGTTTACGTTTAATAAGAATTCTCCAGATGTGTTGGAAAGGTTGGATTTGTCTTTTAAGGATTTGAGGAAAGAGTTGGTTGCTCGTTTGCATGATGCTGTGAGTAATCATTTGTTTGGAAAGGTAATCAGTTCTTGCAAAAAACACTAAACGAGTGACTTCCTTGTAGAAACAAGGAGTATTATAAAAAAAATTCCGATTTGCCAGGTGAGTAGCACCCCGCAAAATCAAATATCACCCTGCAACATCATTTTTGCGGGGTGCAGAGCATACCCCGCAAAAACATTAGTCGCAACTTTTTGCAAGGGGAAATGCACCCCACAACTTTGCTAGAAGAAAAACAACTCGCAAATTTTCCAGGTGAAAAGCACCTCGCAACCCTTTTCCCATATTTCAATACCTATCAGAGCAGTTGAGTAGCAGATGCTTCAGAGTATAATGGAGCAGAAAGTGGCATAAATTTGCAGGGTGAAAAGCACCCCACAACGTTTTTCTCAGAGTTCAACGTATGTCAGAGTAGGTGAGTAGCAGAGTGAAGCAGAAACTTGCAGAAACTTGCGGGATGTATATCACCTGACAACGCTTAAACATGCCTTATGAAATTCACCACGCAAACAGTAAAGAATATAATAAAAAAAATATTTATATTATTTTAAATATTATATTAATATTTAAAATGATATAAATTATGAAAATTTTAAAAATTCTAAATTTATAATTATTTCTAAATATGTAAATTCATACTTAATTTTTAAAAAAATCCATAGTTAAATAAATTCATAATTAATTAAAATATTTAAATTCAAAATGATATTCATTCAAAATCCGAATAGTTCTCGTCGTTTCCATTTTCTTCATCCTTCTCATTCTCACCTAGCACTCCTTGGTTATCAACCGCTCAAACTCTGCCACCACCATATTTTTGAAACATTTGATTGCATTTATTGTTGTATTTGTTGTTGTAATTATTGTTGAATTTGTTGTTGTGTAAGTATTATTTGCTCTTGTGAAAGTCTCAATGCTTCCTCCAACTCTATTTGTTTTTTTTCCTCAATGCTTCATTTTCACGTGTTGCTTCACTTTGAGCTAGTTGTCTAATTGTTTCAGTCATTTGAGGGGTTAATGTCGGAGGACGTGAAGACCCTTCCCATACTGCAATTCTCCTAAATAAAGGATACCTATCCCCTTTTTTTGTAGTTTCCGGCTAAAGGTCTGGTAGCATAAATTTTTCCATTTCTTTATTTTCTCTTACTTGCTTTCAACCATAAATATTGATCAACAGCTGGATAAAGAGGATGTTGTCCCTGTGAACCACCTAATCCGGGATGTTTAGCTAAAAGTTCTTCCTTCAATCTTTGGTACTCCTCCTACACATACATAAAAATTATGAATATTGATTGTGGGTAACATATACTTTCTTCTTCCGGTGGAAATGAAAATTTAATTTGAGCACTTGATTCAAGCTAAACAACTCTAACTCCGTTTCTAAACATAAGCAAAATGGAAAAGCAATTGCAAGTTGAAAATGGAAATTTAATTTAAGCATTTGATTCAAGTTAAACAACTCTACCTGTGTTTCTAAAAATAAGCAAAATGGAAAAGCAATTGCAACTATTGTCTATTCAATCTATCTCATAATAGTACCGCCAACAGTATTTACGCTAATTAACATAATATCACAAGTTCTATTTTTTCATCCAAAACACTTAATTGAGAGGAGAAAGAAGATGAATACATTATTTTGTCAAAATTTTGGATTTGCAGAAAGTTTCTTCTAAATTTTTTGGTTAAATGGAGAGATGTGGATGGAAAATTATATGCTTCAAAATAAGAAAATGGAGTTCTAGTTTAGGTAACTTATTTAATTAAAAAAATTTAATATCACATTTAAATATTAATATCATCTTACTTGAGTATCTCTAGCACGGTCATCGCTATACTCTCCATCTCTTCCCCGATAAGTCCTCTCGTGAAGCTATTGCATTTAATATCAAAATAATTTATTAATATGTGTACCTTTGTAAACAAATTTGATGAAAATATGAAAAGCAAATTCGAATCCAACAAGAAATTTGAGTAATGAAGTCTTGATTTGGTGTGAAATGGTTTGTGAAAGAAACAAGAAAGATGAAACTGGAATGAAAAAAAAGGAAAATGAATTGGTCATTTATAAAGGAAATTTGTGAGGTGGAAATCACCCTGCAACTTTTCTTACCGTTGAGATTTGCAAAAGTCCACTCACCCTGCAACACCGTGTGTCAGAACGGCCATCTGTCATTCTGTGCAATCATTAATTGCTTTATTTACTTCCACTCATCTTTTAAAAAACACTTGCGGTGTGCTAGGAACCTTACAACATTTTTATTGTTGGGTGTTACGGGGTGCGACAGACCTTGTAAAATATGTGACAATACAACTCACCTGCCACTTGACGCAACAGTAACTGTACCAGTGAATTTCCCCATAAAGTTTTTAAAAACACTTGTGGGGTGCACCTCACCTTGAAAATTTCTAACCCTTGGGAGTTGCGAGGTGAAAATCACCTTGCCAAATCTGTGACAATACAAGTCACCTGCCTCCTGATGCAACAATAATTGTACAAGTGAAATCCCCCCAAATTTTTTTAAATAAATTGCGGGGTACAAATCATCTGGCAAAATTTGAACTGTTGGAAGTTGCGGGGTGCAACTCATCTTGCAAATATTTTTACAGTACAATTCACCTTCCCCCACTAACTTAGTAGTAATTCCATCAGTGGATTTCCCCCCAAATTTTTTAAAACTATTGCGGGGTGTTTATCACTTTGCAACTTTATTTTTCAAAATTTTTAAATTTCCCCCATATGTTGCAAGATGGAAAATATTACGATTTTTTTATAAAAAAAAACAGTGGTTCGGGGTGAATATCATCTTGCAAGTGCGATATTTTACGGGGTGAATAACACCCGGCGTAATCACCTGGCTAATTTGATGTTTTCTTGTAGTGGAGAGCCTCAACAAGGGTAGATTTATATATAATCTTGGAGATTTGGGTGCTATGATAGTGATGTGTATTGACCAAAGAATGAATGTCTTGTTTATCCCTCTGACAGAAGCCCCTTTTTATAGTCACTTTCTTGATCTTTTAAGAGCCTCATTTAAGAGATGATTCTTTGGCTTCTGAATCGTATAATGGTTGCCGTCATCCATAAACGGGAGTATTTAAGATAACATAACATTTACATTGATGAGCTGACAACCGTTACAATTCAGCCTGAGTCAACCTCATAGTCGGAGTCGATCTTGTAGCCGATTTTGGGACGTTGTATCTCAACCCTGGTTATTCTCCGGTTTGGTGCCCTATATGGGATATTAATTGGGTGTTATCTTCCTGGGGAATGTGGTTGACTTTAAACTCCAGGAAAGTTTTAGATATCCTGAGGGCTATATGCAGATATTTGATTAGAGAGACACTACTATGGAAAAGACATTCAACAACGATTGAGAAAGATAAATAATCATGCAGGACCATGCGTTGTTATATAGCGTGTGGTTTATATATATATATATATATATATATATATATATATATATATATATATATATATATATATATATATATATATATATATATATATATATATATATATATATATATATATATATATATATGTGTGTGTGTGTCACTTACAATCACGGTCTGGGACCACGCATTAACTGTTGTAGTAAATTATGTCACAACGGTTTATGTAAACAACTTTTTTCATAAATATAGTGGCATGGGTTCGATACCCAACTACAACCAAAATTAAAGAGCATAAAAAATAGCATTTCACCACAGTTATAAGTTCCAACCGTTGTGGTATATTTAAGAGTTTATTATAAAATATAGGATTGCTTGTTTTTCCCTGCCCATCATTAACCATATACAACCATTCAAATAGGTTTTTGAGATAATAATCAGAAAAATTAAGTTATTCTTGAAAAACAACTTAAAAGATCCAATATTTTTCGAATTGCAAGATCCTGTAAATCATAATTTCCTCTTTAGCCTATAAGATTTGATTCAACCCCAAATTCTTCAAAGTAATGTTGATAAATGGATGACAGTCTGAGTCTTTCACAAAAAAATTGATTTCTTTTTCTTTTCAACTTTATTTTTCAAACATCAGGTTTTGAGTGAAAGACCCAAATTGACACCCATTTATCAATATGGTTTTGAAGAATTTGTGACATTGAATGAAATTCTATATGCTAAAGAGGGAATTATGATTTACAAGATGTATGCAATTCAAAAAAAACATTGGATCGTCTAAGTTGATTTTCAAAATTAACTTAATTTTTTTAATTATTATGTTAAAAATCTTTTTAAATGAGTGCAAGTTTAATGAGGGGTTAGTGAAACAAGTAATCTCATATGATATAACAAACTCACTAGCAACATTTATCAACAAAAATATCAAATTAATTTACATGGATTGGGAGAACTAAATAACTAACCATTTATGTTAACCTGTATAAGAATTTAAAGTACTTCATCAGACTGACATCAACCATCCCTTGCCTACCATCAAATCATATTATACACTTGTTATCATCCCCTTAACCATCAACACCATAATCTGCAATGAAACACAACAAAGTTCAATCATGAGCATCATCACAATACAACCGCACATATAAGAAAAACCCTAAACCCATAAATTCTAACTTATAAGTATCAACAGAGAGATTGAAAGAGAGAGCATGAGAATATATCATACTCTTTCTACCACCATCATCATCACCATACGAGTTTCATCTAGTTTGTGAAGCAATGACAAAGAAATATAAGTTGGATGAAGTTAACACAATAGCTTCATACTTCTTATATTTATTTTCATAGCTGCTAAAAATAGATGAAGGTTTGATGTTGTTGTTGTTTCTTCATTCACTTTTCTTGAGTCCTACAAACACCATGAAAATTATCAACATGTGAAATCGCAAACTTAGAACAACATACAATAATAAAAGATCCATAAAATTTCTAACAAGAAGGGAAACCATGTGAAACATAAGAACAACATACACGAAAATGAGAGAATAAGGAAAAAGAAGAATACATTTATGTAAGAAGAAGAGAGAAAATGGATTCTAGGTTTTTTTTTGTGAAAGATACGATGCTACTGTGAAAGGACAAGAGTTAATTCGCTTATATATAAATATACTCACAAAGGTTGAACAAAATAACTGAAGTTGTAACCCTTTATTTTATATATAAAAATAAATAAAATAGAAAAGGCGCTCCTTAACGTTAAATGAATAATACATGTGAGAGCACTAAGGTTCGAACCCAAGAAGACATGGATTTTATAACCAAGATTATGACTGTAACTGTTATTATATGCTAACAATTTTTAATAAAAAATAAAATATAATGTTAGCGCTTGGGTTTAGAG